CTAATTTTGGTACAAAGAATCTTTTAACACTTCTTTTACTCCTTAGGGCATGACTTAAATGAGTGTACAATGAATTTCGCCTCAAATGCCCGTCCTTAGTCGAGTTTTGTTTCTCGGCTGGACCGAGTTATGTGTTAAGACTTTGATTCTAATACGAGCGAGATTTCAACATCCATTAGTCCAACCCTCTTTTCCAACCCTTTATTAGGGTTTCTGAGTATGCCACGTCGCATTCCTGATTATCCAGATGCTTACGCTGGATGGAATGTCCTTAGCATTTTGACCCTTACGTTTTCGAGGCATTGATTCTCACCAATATTTGCGTCACTTAAGTTGAAATTCTCGCTTCCGTTTTGTCCACCACTGCTCGTATGAGTGCTTCCCCTTTAAGGCAGAATGTTTCCCTACCAATATATTTTTACATCTCACACCTTCATCAGATTGCTTAGCGCCTTTCATTTTGATAGTGAGTCGTTTTTATAATATAATAATAAGTAGAGTTGAGAATAATAATAGAACTGGAAGACATCGATAGTTAGAGATGAAGAATTTGACATCTAATTATTCAAACCAATAGATCATTGAAAATGAAACAAATTGAAATATAATAAAACAATTGGCGCCTTCGATTACCTTCTTTTTAAAGTTCTTTGGAATTCAAATCTTAAATTTTATTATGTGAATTCTTCGAGTTTCGGATCAGCTTCTCTTAACTATGTCTAGTAATAAAATAGGACAACTTGTTCTCACCAATACTCTACTTTTTGTTCGATTCAAACGAAATCTTTCTTTTATAAGTTTGACTTTGTGCATCTCGATGTTTGTTGACCAAAAAAAAGTCCATCAATCGAAATGATTAATTTTTTGGTTTTTTCGTTGGTCTCTCCACTTCGAAACTGATCCACAACACAACATCGATTCTCTTGTCTCAATTTTATTTTTACTTCTTTGGATTTTAAATCTCAAACCCTAATTAATAATCAACTTGAGCATAGTTTAATTGAAATTTGATTAAAAAATAAACAATAAAGAAAGACTTTTCCATGCGTTTCATATAAACACGGACCGATTAGAACTTATACTTATAACCAAATTTCAGTAGCTTGAATGAGTTCCCATCGACTTATATTAAAATATCGTCTTAAGGGGAGAGATAATGACAAAAGGGTTTGAATGGTTTGGTTTATCTCCCCCAAACAATGACTAATCTTATAATTATGATAGGTGTTGTGCCAATGAATACGTTTGTCCCCAAAGAAGGTGGATTGAGGGAAAACCCAAAAAAGACAATATATGTTAGCGGTGGATCTGCGCTGTTACAAATGGTATTAGAGCCAGACACCATATGATGTGTCAGTCTTCTCGTGGTCCTACATCGATTGGAGGAAAGAAGAGTGCCAACGAGGACGCTGGGGCCCGAAGGGAGTGGATTGTGATGTCCCACATTGGTTGGGGAGGAGAACAAACCATCCTTTATTACAAGGGTGTAAAACCTTCCAGTAGCGCAGACAAGTTTTAAAGCCTTGATGAACCTGGGAACCTACAATAATTTCTAAAGATATAAACGTTCCTCTCACTTCAAAGGTTTCCTAAGATTGAAAAGACTTCATTATTTAAACTCTAATTAATTAATAATAAGTTGATAATTAATTATACAAATGGGTGTTTAAAATTTAAACAATGATCTCATGAAATTTGTCTAATTCTCTTGAAGATTGACTTTTTCTTTATATTAATTACATAATTAGATTAATTAAAATCAAAATTAAAAGCTTCCCTTTCTTCTCAATTCCTTAAATATGATTCTAATTCAATTCCTCCGCCATTGAAATCATCCTCTCAAGTTAAACATGGGGCATTGGACACAGGCGCTTATGGCACTCATACTAATGAAGATAACCATAACAGCCGCGGCGGCCGTCGTAGCTTCTCAAGCCTTGGCCAACTGCGACGAGTGGTGCGGCAACATGCAAATCCCATATCCATTCGGCGTGAGAAAAGGGTGTTATTTGAATGAAACATTCTTAATTACATGCAACAAAACCAACGCTCCAAAGGCGTTTCTAAAAGACACCAACATCAGCGTTACTAATATCTCAATCAGCGGTGAGCTACACATGATGCAGCCCATAGTGCGGGATTGCTACAAGCATGTCAATGGTCCTTTGCTCCCCGACCAGGCCAATCTTAAGGTGCGGGCTACGTTCCCAATCGCTTATGAGAAAAACAAGTTCATCGCCATCGTCTGCAATACGTTCGGTTTAATCGGCGGGGTGCTAGACGGGAGTGCGTATGTAAGTGGGTGTGTTTCGATGTGTTCAAACGACAGTAAGATAGCTGACGGGGCATGCGTTGGCAATGGGTGCTGTCAGTTGGAGATTCCACGTGGGTTGAGTGATTTGATTTTGAGTGTGGGTAGCCTCTTGAATCACACGGATGCAATGGATTTCAATCCTTGTGGGTATGCTTTTGTGGTGGGAGATGAGGGGTTTCAGTTTTCTTCCAACTATATTACCAGCTTTGATGATGTGGAAGTTGAGGTTGTTGCTGGTTGGGCTATTGGAAACGACACAAATTTTATGTGTGGACCAAACAGTGTAAGGAATAGTAGCTTCTCCGATGATGGATCCGAATTTCGTTGCGACTGCTTGGATGGGTTCGAGGGGAATCCATATCTACCTCGAGGTTGTCAAGGTAAGAGTAGAGATGTGCACAAAATTGGTAATAGAGAAGCTCTTAGCATCTCTCTGTCACTGTCTCCTATTTCAATTTTCATCTCTGAGAAATTCTCCGTGAATATCTTGATTGGGTGATTAGATCTGAAAGAGGAAAATAATCATGTCTCTAGCCAGTTAATGGGGAGAATTTCTCATTCCTCGAGATCATCTACTCATTTAGGCTAATCTATGCATAGTAGCATGGACACGTGCTTATTCGTTAACTCTACTTAACATTTATTGGGTTATTGAGATTGTTGCTCGTAAATAGCTTACTCAATTGTTTATTTGATTGTTATACGCAGTAAAATTATATACGGTGAATGGTCATATACAATAAACAAATGGTAAACAACTATGTAGTAGAAAATTATTAAAACGTTAGTTAGTTATGTAATCTGTAAATTTTATAAACTTTTAAGTCAATATTATTCTTTACATTTTTTGCTTTTATCAGAATGAGTGTGTTATTATGCGATTCTAACACTATTATTTCTCGAGATATTGATGAATTGGGGAACTTTTGTAGACAGATGAATGTAAAGATGAGAGGCTGAATAATTGCAAGTACCTGCGATTGTCCTAAGAACTTCAAGGGAGATGGAAGACATGGGGGAGAAGGCTGCATCCGAGACGTCAAGGCTTTCACTCCGATCATAATCGGTACGTTTTCAAACCTTTCATTGAATACAAACGATACTATGAGAGTTGGAGAAGGCCACCAACAACTACAATGACACCACTATCGTTGGCAAAGGTGGGTATGGTACCGTTTACAAAGGCATCTTACACGACGGCTTGGCAGTGGCTATCAAGAAATCAAAGCTAGTGGACCAATCCCAAACCGACCAATTCATCAACGAAGTCATCGTGCTCTCCCAAATCAACCATCGCAACGTGGTTAGGCTCTTGGGGTGCTGTTTAGAGACACAAGTTCCCTCGTTGGTCTACGAGTTTGTAACCAATGGCACGCTATTCGACCACCTCCATGACAAAGCCAACCATGTGTCCCTCTCTTGGGAAACTCGCTTGAAAATAGCTTTGGAAACTGCCGGGGTTCTTTCGTATTTGCATTCTTCTGCTTCTACTCCCATCATCGATAGAGATATCAAGACGACTAACATACTTTTAGATGGTAATTACACTGCGAAGGTCTCCGATTTTGGCGCATCCAAGTTGGTTCCGATGGATCAAACTCAGCTATCCACGATGGTGCAAGGGACACTTGAGTATTTGGATCCTGAATACTTGTTGACAAGCGAGTTGACGGAGAAGAGCGATGTTTATAGCTTTGGAATTGTGGTTCTCGAGCTTATAACGGAGAAGAAAGCGGTGAGTTTCGATGGGCCGGAAGCGGAGAGGAATCTAGCCATGTATGTCCTTTGTGCAATGAAAGAGGATCGGTTGGAAGAAGTTGTGGAGAGGAGAATGGTGAGGGAGGCCAATTTTGAGCAGATAAGAGAAGCCACTAAGCTAGCAACAAAATGTGTGAGGGTCAAAGGGGAGGAGCGGCCAAGCATGAAGGAGGTAGCTATGGAGTTGGAGGGGCTGCGATTAATGCACGGTGAGCATTCATGGGTGAATAAGGATTTATCCAATGCTGATGAGATGATATGTTTGCTGGATCATGAAGCTTCAGATCCCACCCATTTTGTTGAGAGTACGAGTTTGAATAATTCCATGGGCGATAGCTTAAAAGCTCGAATTTTGTCGCACATCCACCGCGGGAGATGAAATTTATACTCCATTACCCAAATGTCACGACCAAAATGTTTTAATACCCAATTGTTGTAGGGGAAGTAGAACCAAGATCGATCGTACTCACACACCCAAAAACAAAAATTAAACAAAGAGACAAAGATTTACGTGGTTTGAAGAAAAGAAATTCCTCTACATCCACCATGGGTGGTAGTCTTATAAGTGTATCTCTTCCACTCTTACGCTACAAACTCTCTCTTACAAAGTTATCTCAATTGTCTCTAAGCAAATACAAAATACAATGATCCAGTGCTATGAACCAAAATTAATGACAATACATATGAGATGCATGAATCTATTTATCACGACAACGATCCATATATAAATATGTTCTTCTTCCACCGATCAAAAGAATGGGGAGAAGAAAGTTAGAAATTTTCTACAAACCTAACATTTCCCATAAAATATTAGGAAGCTAAACAAATTATGATCTAGGTGATCATTCCACAACAACAACAAAAAAAAACATCAAATTCAGCAAACTCAAGCTATGAAAGCATTTGTATATGTATATAATTCCAATCTCTATAGAAATATAAAGCAATCCAACGAGATTAACGGATTATCAATATCCTCCATCGCCGCCGCCGAATCTAAATCTCCCTCATTCAACACCGCCTCTCTCGCCGCAGCTTCATCAATTTTTGAACTGATCCTATGAATGCAAGTAATTTTTTCCTTCCTCATCTCACAACCCTTGGCCGGCGATCGGCTTTTATGACCAACAGTCTTCACTGACGCTCCTGTGATAAGACCGGTTGCAACCCGGCATTTCTCTCCGCTTGACCGTCTACTTGGCGACGGCGACAGAGGCCGTTGAACCTCCTTCCTGAAGCTCTTCTGGCGAACCGGCGATGGGGAAGCCTGTCGAACTCTCTTCTGGGGTGTCGATGTCGATGTCGATCTCAATACCCTTTGGGGAGACGGGTGACGCATGCGCTGTCGAACCACCACCGGGGAAACCGGGTTGAACGGAGGCAAAAAGGCGGAAGCTTTAAGGGAATTGATCCGAACAACGTGAGGGTTTTGATTGTAAGGCGACCAGAAGTAGTCATGTGGGAGAATTGGGGAACGGGAAGAGGCGGTTGAGAAAGAGCTGTTGGTTGTCGTGGTAGTTGTAGTGGAAGAGAGACAAGTGGAGGAAGAGGAGGGAGAAGGGGAAGGAGGATAAGGAGAGATTTTGTTACTAAGAGAGAGAGAAGGGGCGGCGGCGGCGGCGACGGCGACAGCCAACGGCGGCGGTTGGGGAATTACAACCAGCTTGTCTTGAACAATATTGTTGAAATCAAAAAGAGGCGACGGCGGCGGTTTGATGGCCTTGGGTTTGCATTTGCTAATGCAAGATCCCATTTTGAGATATGGGTTTGATTCAATTGGAACAGAATTGGAGAAGGGGGTTTGATTTTAGAAGGAAGGTTGAAGACATAAAGAGAAAGGTAGTGGAAAAGTGGAAGCTTTAATTTGAATTTGATTGCCGCCGATGAAAACCGTTGCACAACGGTTATATAATGGCTCCTTCTACGACCAACAAGTGCTTTTTTGTTTAAGGAAGAAAAAAAGTGCTGTCTTTAATGAAGTACTAAGAAACAACTTAATTTTAACTTTATGCTGTTTTTTTTATTATTATTATTATTATTATTTTATTTTATTTGTAGGTTTGTCTGAAAAGGTATTGGTCGGCTGATTTTGAGCTGCTGTTTGAAATGAAAGTGGGCTTATAAAATGGGCCTGAGTTGAGGTTAGCTCCTCCGTTGGAGCCCATTTCATAATGATTTATGGCCCAATCTTCTGCCTCTAAAGCTGTTGGGTCTAATTTCTTTTTTGTTTTTCTATTTTGTACAATTTTATTAAAATTATTGATGACTAAATAAATTAAAAACCTACCACTCAAGACATATTATTTATTTGGTGAATGAAAATTAAATTAATTAAATTAAAATTATTTTAATAATTTGTTTTGTAAAAATAAAACTAACTAAAAAATATTAATTTTTCTAAAGTTAATTAAACATAATTAACTACAAAATAAAAATATTATTTTGCGAAAATCGAGGCATGTTATTAGAAAAATGTGAAAAAATATGCTAATAAAAACAATACGTTTTATGAACATACTTATATATAATTTTATATTAAAATAATTTTAATAACATAATAATTAAACAAATTTACTTAAAATTTTAAAATTAACTAATTTATATTTCTAATATAACTAAAGTATATATAATATAATATGTATGGAAAATATATGTATATTGAAGTTGTTGGATCAATATGCATGTGAAAAAACTGTCTACACCCACTCTCAAATTTATGTCGGGGATTTGTAGGGTCCACACTGTAATGCCGCTGTTTGTGAAGATGAACGTGTGTGTCGTCACGTGGAATCTGGGACCTAATTTGGTAGGGTCCACGTGGGCCCGCCACGTGTTGCAAATTTAGCTAAATCTTAAATTAAAAATAATTCCGATTAAGAAATTAGAAATCATATTAATCTTAAAGATCTAAAATAAGGTCAAAATTAACTTATTTATTTTAAAATATTTAATTAAAATTGAATATATATATATATATATTATGAAACGATATTAAAATGTTTAGCATTAGATTGGAAATATTGAGAAATAAGAGCATAGGCGGATTAATTTGAACACGTGTCTATATTCTTGGTCCATAAGTTTCCTTAATAATAGAAAAATAAAAACATAAATTAAATTAAATGCAGAAGTTTGTTTGTTTATTGATTTATTTATTTTATTTTATTTTTCCGGTCCCAAACATTTATAAACTAATCCTTTATATTTCCAATTTAAAAATATAACGTCAATCTGAAAATTTACAATATGATAATACTCTAATCCACATCAAAACTGGATTCCAACTTTATCTTAATTTCTAAATACTTTTAATTTGACGTCATCAATGACTTCATCAGTGGGCCTCACTCTGAGACCATCCTCGCCCGATATTTTTTAACCCACTTAAACCATAATTCTTATGGTTGGTTTACAACAACACTCTCTGCAATGGTGGTATACACAACTGTTTACAATGGTATGATATTATCAACTTTGAGCGAGCTCTCATATTTTTTCTTTGGGCTTCCTCAAAATTAGTCGATATGTAACTTTCGTCGTCCAACAACGACAACCTCCAAGAAACTGGTAAGATACATGTTTTCCTTTTTACCTTTATTTGCTTTATGTTATTACTTTTTGGAAGCTTCGATTTAGGTTCTGACAAAGTAAGAGTCGATCAGGATCGATTTTCTTAAAAAAATGATCTTGCTACGTGTTATAAACTTGATGATATATATATATATATATATATATATATATATATATATATATATATATATATATATATATATATATATGTGATTTTTCATTATGAAAAAGAATTAATTAGTCCGTTGTTAAAGGAAATTTATCGAAAAGAAATTATTAAAATAAAATAAAATCCATCTTTTAATCATTTTAATGTGCGTCACGATTTCAGAAAGAAAATTTTAAATAAACAATGAATAATAACTCTTATAGGACACAACTATATAATTTAAATTTTTCAATAATTCATTTTACCATTGGTATATATACATATATCATTTATCTATACAATAAATATTCAATTTTTTTTTAAATTTAACATGAGTCGAAAAGAATCCGAATTAAAAATAAATTGTCTATTTGGTTATTGAAATTTATTTTATTTTTAAAGTTTTTAAAAATTTATAAGTATTATTAAAAAAAATTGAGACGAAAACAAAGTATTAATTGTTTCCATTAAAAATTAAATGATATATGTATTTTTTATTAATTTTTTTAAATAATTTGAGGGTGTTTTTAGACATTTTAAAAAGTTTAAAGATATTTTTTTTAAAATAATGGGTAAAATTTAAATGTATTTTTACTAATTTACGGCGATGTTGTACTCACATTTTAATTATTTTAAATTTATTAATAAAAAAATAATTTTTTAAAAAATTTGAGAGTAAACATGTAATTCAATTAATAAATTATTATTAATTGAATTAGATTCTTTTTTCAATTGACTATAAAATATTTAAAGATTAAAATTAAACACGTTAAAATATAGACTATATTTAAAGTAAATGGTTCTGTGTGATTGGTCAGATCCAATTCCTTATCTATACACATCTACTTTAATTATCTATTAATGGATAAATAATGGTCGGTTAGGACATTAATAATGAGTTTCCACAACTATTAAATACGAAAACTCCATTAAAAAGCACAATTCTAATCAATGGCAAAGATATGCAGCTGCGGGTCAATCACAGCCGTCAATCTTTAGTTCCGTCTTGAATTTTTTTTTCTTTAAACTTTAATGAAAAATAAAAGCTGAGCTGGAAATATGTAGGAAACATTGCTGAGCTGTACGGGTGTCAGGGTCGGTGAGTCACTCGGCAGTCACACGCTCACTGTGTTCCGTTTGCTTGGACATGAAACATTATTTAAATTTCCACTATGCCACATGTCAGCTTTCTATTGGGTTTTCCTAATATGTGGAAGTTAGTAAAAGTCGGCGTCTAAACCCTTCCATTCAAACTATAAAAAATTAAATATAATTGATAAGTTGACATTTAAAAAATAGGTCAATCCAATTAGCTCGGGTTACAATTCAATTCTACTTTTAAAATTATTAGAAAATTTAATAACATTTGATGTTTGTAATTGATATTAATGATACAGTGCGACTTATAAATGTTTAATGTTTATGTTTTATGAGATTATAGTTATTAACGTAACATATCGTGGATAATTATACCAAATTAAAAAATAGTAATGAGTTGGGTTGGATTGTGAACTATATTTGAATTGTTTGGGTGATCAACTCAATTAATCTGAAATTTTGAGTTCGTTCAAAAGATTTTCTAAATCTAAGGGCAAAAATGTATTTTTACCCTTCCAATAGCTTTTATTCGCTAATTTTTTATTAATTATTCTTACTTTTTTGGTTATGTAAAAAATAATAATAATAATGATAAAGAAAAATAACTATTGTTAATTAGTTTAAAATAACTTGCATTATTGCACGATGAATTCACAGGTAATTATCAATAATTTAAGGTTAATTAGTATTAACTACTTTGGTAATTTTCAATTATTATTTAAAGTTGGGAATGTTAGAAATAATAATAAACCGAACCAGGTTTTTTTAATACGTATTTGATTTATTAAATAAAATTCAAAAGAAAAACCGGCCAACGGTGCCGGTGGCTAGTTTTTCTCCGGCAGAGCTTTCGGATACTCTGTTTTTAATCAGTTTGAACAACGCCCCATATAAACCCCAATCTCCGGCAAATAACAGTCATAGTTTCGCACACACCACTGAACAAGAACAAATCACAGCTTTATTTAATTATATAGATGTAATTTGTCAAGAACAAGCCAAAACATAAAATGCTCTGTTTCTCCGTACATTAAACAGAGCAAAACCCACCCACCAAAACAAAACGGAAATCAAAATCTTAATACAGTTCCCGGCGGCGAGGGACGGAGGAGGGATTTAAGGAAGTCCCTTATAGAGTAGTACATCATCGTCATCACCAACTTTCTTCTTGCCGGAATTACAGTGGCAACCTTCCGTGGCTTCAAACTTGAGACGGCGGTGGCCGGAAATTTGATCGGCTTGTTACGTGGGGCAGTAGTCGAAGTCATCGGAATCTGGCTGAGGTTTGGTTGAGGATATCAGCAGTAAGGAAGAAAGGGTTGTGCTTTATAAAGGTTAGGCGCAAGGTTTCCGGGAAGCTTCGCAGCTTCGGCAATGGAAGTCATTTATTTTGACAACTTGTAAAGTCAAAATCGAAACTTCGGTGGCAAAGTTATTATTCAAAATCTCAAAGATATAAGAACATTGACTTATAATAAAATATCAAATATGATCGTATAATACCGTAAACTATAATTTAGTAT